TTCGCATTTTCCATGTTACCATGCTATGCTACGAATTCGGCGGTGAAGAGCTCTATATAATGTTGAATGTGTCGTTGGAAATCTTTGGTCGTGTACTGCTTGGGTATATGCATGAGAATGGCGGGTAAGGTTGAAGGGGGTACGTAGATGGGAGAAGCGCTTTATGTTGAATTCCTAAGGGAAAAGTTTTGGAGGAGTGGTTTGCCTGGTTGTAGTTCATTTCGATAAACAACGAACAGGGATAGGTGGTTTAGTAGGGGCAAATATCTCGCCTTTGTTGGATCGTTGTTGAATCAGGACTGCATGACGGGATGATAACGGCAATAAATCGGTCCAGGGAGATAAACAGGGGACGAATAGTCGAAGATTAATTAGAGGAGATCTCTTGCTTGGACTCAGTTACTTCTGTTGAACTGCCGTTGACCTGTTTCTGAGGATCCTGGCTATTTTCCTGGGCATTGTCAACAAGTTCAGCTGCTTGGGCAATGGGTTCTACTTGTACATTTAGGTTTTCGACTTTGAGATCCTTGAAAATGTTGAATATGTCATGTGTTTTATGGAAATCGTTGTTCACTTTCAAAGAGTAGGTATTAGTAAAATTGTTTCCCGAGTCTTTAACAATAGGTGACTTATTAGAACAGCCTTACCAATATTGACCAAATACCAGTTGTCCATCACTTGTTGAATGATGCGTCTGCTGGGACTCGATGCTCCGTGGCACTTGGCCCAGTCGTCTCCCAGTCGATACGCTTCATCCTTCCAAGCCAAGAAGCTAATTGTTTCAACAATGGTGGGCTGGATAATTTCTTTGGAAGCGAAAATTCCCCACGTAACTGCATTAGGACTATCGGTCGTATTTGTCCTCAATTCTCCTATTTTATTAACGCAATAATAGGTCAGGTCGGGATTTTGTTCGATGCGGCTAATAACATCATCGATCACTGTGGGTGAAATAAGAAGCTCTAGGTATGCCTTTTGGTAAACGTATCCGTTCTTCGGACCCCATCCGTAGACTGGGTGAGAGGAGGGCATGCCATCAATCGCAGGTTGGGAGTTGATAGTCAGGAAACCCCTCCGGTTCAGGTCGAGCAAATCCAGTTTAATGACATCTGTTTCCTCTGTAACAGCCCCCTCGCTCCATGGAAGTCTATCAAGGTTGCCATTCAAAAAACGTACGAAAATCTCAGATAGCTCCTTGAGTGATTTTGGCTCTCCCCATAGTTTGATATTTTGCTCGTTGGTTCCCTTCAGGCCAATACCGTAAGTATCTAGCTCTCCAAATGCAGGAGATCGAGAGTCAGTCCAACGGCCATTTGGATATTCATCCCATGTTTGAGTACGAGCCACGTATGATTGATGTCGATGTCTCCAAAAGATTGGTCGCACATCTTCTTCTCTTCGGCCAAGTCCAAGAGATTGCCGCCACGGAAGTGGCTTTTGCAGGGGGGTTTTATGAGACGGTATCAATTCTAGTTCACCAAGCACCATTTTGGTTGCTTGTTGCAAATTCATCGTGTAGCTATGGATGTAAAATTAATATTTGAGTGCCTCATTAAAGTAGAAAGAATATAAACTTACAAATGCAGGTGGTGGATCCCAGCCGCAAGCATTTTCCTACACATATTAGCCACGAGAGATTTACCCAGGTTTCTCACAGCTACATCATCATTCTTCACAGGTTCCAATGCCTCTAACCAATCAGGAGGGATCCTAATTTTTGTCCAGTTCGATCTTCTAATGAACGCAGCGTACGTGTGAATTGGCATGATGCCAGGTATAATCGGTACCGTAATCCCATTGTCGCGACATTTGTTGACCCAGGCCAAGAAGTTATCGACATCGTAAAACATTTGTGTAATAATAAATGTTCCCCCCGCATCAACCTTTTCTTTTAAATGTTGCATAAGCAAGTCAGGGTCATCTTGGTCATCGCAGCCTTCGGGATATCCAGCAACCCCTATATCGAAATGGTTGCCATATTTATCACGAATATATTTGACTAGATCTTTAGCGTAACGGAACCCACCCTCAATAGCCTCCCATTTCTCTTTCTCTCGAGGAGGGTCACCACGCAAAGCCAAAATGTTCGTACACCCCGCCTTGAACGCACTCTGTATCGCAGCGTCAACTTTCTCACGAGGCATATCTGTGCAAGTGAGATGCATACATGTTTCCAAACCGTACACCGATTGCGCCACATTCACCATTTCACAGGTCAGCTCCGACAATCGCCCTCCCGCACCCCATGTGATGTCAATAAAGGATGGCCCATATCCATGCATACGGTCCATGCGGTCGTAAAGATTCTGTACACCCTGCGCCGTTTTCGGAGGGAAAAATTCGAAGGAAATTCCAGGGCGTCCAGTGGCCTCCGCATGGGCCAACTTGTCTTTGATATGCATTTTGTCACTGTCCCAGAGCTGCGAAGGTAAATTGGTACGCTATATGAGCCGCAATCACTATGAGGAGAGACCCGCGGAAGAAACGAATGGTCTGAACTGCTCGTTGGGAAGCAAGTAAGGCGCTGAGTCCAAGCACAGGCGGGAGAACACAACGGTCCCTCTCTTTTCTCTCTCATAGAGGAGTGCGGGTGTGAATAGGGGATATACTAACCCCGGCGCTCTAAAAAACTAATACCATACACTCACCTGATCTCTCCAAACCAGATTCCTCTCCGATAAATAGAGACCGGCCGCCCTCAAAATATAAAACCCACTATCAAAAGATGTTTTATTATTTCACCTTCTACACTTTAAAATTCCAATAGAAAAAACTTCAAACAAAGTATTCGGTTC